CTAGAGAGGGAGAGGGAGGAAGGCGAGAGGACAGAGACAGAGTCAGAGCGCAGAGACAGAGACAGAGACAGACAGAGACAGAGACAGAGAGACAGAGACACAGAGACAGAGAGACAGAAAGACAGAGAGACAGAGAGAGACAGAGACAGAGACAGAGAGAGAGAGACAGACCGAGAGAGAGAGAGAGGAGAGAGAGAGAGAGAGAGAGAGAGAGAGCGAGTGGATGGGGAGGGAGAGAGGGAAAAGGGGAGAAAGGGAGAGAGATACTTACCACAAATACAAGGGAAGCATAGGGGTAACCTTTTCCACGTTGATCATGGCCAGTGCATCTGGTAACTGCGCCTTGTCTAGCTCCAACGAAAAACAACCTGCAAAATGTGCACATTCAGTTGAATCCACTCGTTTAAAAAGCCCCAAACATCTATACAATGCACAGCAATACTGTGCAGCTGCAGCCACTTTCGTGCTCCATGTGGTCTTAATAGCAAAAAACATCATTGTCACCAGCTTAGATGTCAACATGACGGAGCTATCCAAATATGAAACATGAAGCTCACTCTATTTAGAAGAGCAACCGGCATGCTAGTTTAAAATTCACACACTGTATTGGCAGTAACCACCCAACCTCGGCAGCACTTGCAGTGTCAGCGACGCAAGTTGCTACTCTCACGTAACTCGCTCGCTACTCACTAGATGACGCAAAAATGCCTCCATTTGACCCCACCAAAGGTTGAGCAGGCCACAAACAAGGGCATTACCCATGCCATCACTCCAAGAAACGCGATTTTGCCCATGTCTGCAAGGAAAGTTACATTGTCTCGTTACGTTCATGAGCTGAACGGCCAAGTAATGAATACTGCAGTCAACAATGTACAGATGCGTACTCACACGCCAAATAAAAGGCCCAGATGAACTAACCATAATCAGATTTAAACAAGAGCGCCAGAGCAGACGCTGGGCTCATCTAAGGTCTGTTGTTACGGTTATAAACGTAACATTTAAGTCGTGCGGTAGTGACACCTTTGTTAGGCCGGCAGATATGCAGATACGCAGTTGCGTACACATCATTTCAGCAACCTTACTGCAACCTCCCAAATCCATTGGTTGATACAAAATCGCGTGCCTGAAACTCGTGTTTTATGGGTGCATTTTGTGTGACCTAACCTATCCCTAACCCTATTAAAAAAATAATAATTTGTTATAATTTGGCATAAGTTACATGTAACACACTGACAGTAAAGAATGGCATAGAAATTATACGATTTAAGGAGCATAAACCTTCAACCAAGTTTACTTTTGAAATCTCACTGTGACATTGTAGCCTCATACTATCGGCATGTATAGATTCTACTAGCAACACCGGCAGTCAAAATTATTTCTAACAGTAAACAAATCCATGTTTAACCCTCCTCTTGAGGGTCAAAAGGTTATCCGAACACTTACTCTTCGCATGTCAGCAGAAAGTACATTTCATGGTTCCTTTCAATAAAGCCATAAAAATGCTAGGTCACCGCTGAAACAAAAAAGTTTTTCAATCGCTCCGTCAGACCATATGTCCTCAGAAAATGTCTAAAAAATCTGCCCTGTGCCCCATTAACCTTTGACCTGTGACCGTCCAATTTCGGCAGCAGTGATGGTTTTTCCTCTACCATGATGCTATACACCGACTATCACGAGCCTAGGTCGAGCCCGTTTAGATTTGTGCCGCAATTCTGCATTTCCTCCGTATACCTTAAGTTAAAGAGGGAATGTTCCCCCTTCTTTTACGACCTCTTGACCTTTGACCTTTGACCCCCACGCTACAACATCCCAACTTGTTTCGGATTAGCCCCCCACGTCCCGAATATCGTGACGCTACGTAGAGCGGTTAAGATTTAATTGTGGCCCAAACTGTTGACGGACGGACGCACGGACGGACGCACGATCATGCGATTCTACAAGCTGAAGCATAAACACAGCTAAATACAGAAAACAGGTAAATAATAAAAAATCAGATGGGATTCGATTCAACGACCTTTCAGCCGTGACAGCCTGTGCTGTACGCGTTTGGCTATCCAGAGCTTATTGGATTTCTAGATTATGGATGCTTGCCATAAATATGACAACACTGTGACTTCATTGAGGCAGTCAGGAATCCATGTTAAACTGTTAACCCTCTTCTGAGGTCAAAAGGTTATCAGACACTTACTCTTCGCACGTCAGTGGAAAGCACATTTCAGTGTCCTTTCAATAAGTGATAAAAATGTAGGTCAGTGCTGAAACAAAAAAGTTTTCCACTCTGTCCATTAGGCCATGTCCTCAGAAAATGTCTGATATCTGAGCCTTTTCCCACCTGCCCTTTGACCTCGTGACCTCCAATTTTGCACTGGTGATGGGTTCCTGCCCATGCACACTATCACACGAATATTAACGAGGTCGAGCCATTAGGATTTGTGCCGCAATTCCGTATTCCTCTTATACCTTAAGTTAAGGGGAAATATTAACCCCTGCCGTTTCCATCTTGACCTTTGACCCTTGAACCCCTCAAATTAGTATCTCCGAGTCCTTTTCACGAAAATCCTAGTCTCTCTATCTCTCTATCTCTCTATCTCTCTATCTCTCAATGCAATTCAGCAATGCAGCAAGAACTCAATTTCATATTGCCTTTCGTGTGTATCCCCGCTTTGTACATATTTTGGCTGCCGCCACAGCTGCTGTCACGGGGCCCCCCGGCGATACATCGTGAGTGTGTGCACTTTTGTTTCAATTGACTACGTCACGAATTTTATATTGTGATATTTGTATTAAAAAAATTGCCATTTTTTTTACATTAAAAGTAAGTACTAACGGGACTAAATGTATCGTCAAATTCTTACCTGATAAGATTGTTTCTCAACTAGTTAAAAATCCAAAAAACCTGGACGATTTGATATTATTATCCTGACATTATCCTGACATATATATGGGCTATGTATGAGTCATGAGTGTATGTTTACATCAAACAATATAGTAAAATAGGAAGTATAATGCAGCAATTTAACCATAAAAAAGTAAACAGAATTACTTACATTTTGTGAAAAAGTGGGAATTGTTTTTACTTGTATTTTACTTATAGAATATTACTTTCAGTGCATTCTGTCGCTGATCATGTGCATTGGATCGGACGTCTACATGCTCATCAACTACGTCAGCTTCATCGAGATCGTCATCGTCTGGGCGTCGGTCAGCGGACTCCTGCTGCTGCGATGGAAGCGACCAGACATGCCCCGTCCCATTAAAGTAGGTTCTCGATGGCAGGGTAAAAAATACACGGGCGCGATGAGCGATTCGCTCTTAAAACCTCCGAAATCGCTCCCGTCAGGCTCAAAATAGCTCCCGTAAAATTTTTGATGAGAGCTATTTTTTGCACAGACTTTTGAAAAAGAGCTCCCGTGAAAACAAAAAATTCCCCCTGCTCGCTGGGCACGCGTGTACACACTCACACTGGCTCGCTGCCCCATCTCTCCACGTCCCACGCTAGACATCCCAACCGCAGGCTGGTCGAGTGTGAACGTACGTGTTTGGGCAGGTCTCGCTTGCTTATCTTTACATCTCTTAGTCTCGCACACCACCTTTTTCTCTGTCTCTTTTTGTTGCTTGTAGTCTTGAGTTTTTCCTTTCATGTCTCAGAATATGGAGCCATGAGCCAATGATCTAATTATATACATTGCTCGTACATGTAATACATGATGTATTGGCATAGCTCGTTGCTCTGCACACAAAAATCTCACAAAATAAAAAAAAATAAAAAAATAATAGCACATTTGGCTACTTGCTTCAAGTGCACCGTGTGCCACCTTATAACAGCTGTTACATATCCGTAGGCTACTCTTATATCCTACCGGCATAGAATAATCAATAAAATGTGCTTGCTCGCCTTTCCCCTTGGTGTATGTGACAGCGTGTTACCTGTACCGGCGTATGACTCAATTTGTGTATTAAAGCTGGTCACACGCGTACGTCGCGCGGTATGTCAAGTTCCTATACGTTTCAGAATGTTGCGACGACAAGTCTGCTTTACTCTTATCTGTTCAGTGTTATATCATATGTTCCCTGTTTGGGGTCAAAATGATTGAAAATGTGACAACAAAGAACTAGGTGCAGTCTACCGTATAACTCGTATTTGAACTGTCAGGTAGCTGTAACTAGATAAGAGAGTGGTATCCAGTCATAAATACACCCTATTCCATCTCATTTTTGCTACGGGGGAGCTTTATTGATTTTTCCAAATCTTTCTTCAAATCTCTATACAGTTTAAAAAAAACGTATATGCTATACAAGTTGTACCTTTTATACCCGCCCCTTTAGAGTGGTATATGAACTGATCAGAAATTTATTGAACTTTAGATAGGTAAGTGAAATGTCGGCATCCTATATAGCACCTGATATAACTTTGTATGTATTCCTGTAATAAAGTACGAGCAAACGTTAGGTGGATACTGGATAGTTTTGGCATATGTGGTTGCTCCCGTCTCTAGTCTGCTCTTGAGTGACTATATGTACGGCTGTGATTTCCACTAGGGACATTTGTTCTTACTATAGTTTCTGCTTCTGCACTAGCTCAGGAGGATTGCAAATAAGTTTCCTTTAATATATTATGGCATTTAGCTGTTTCCATTCCAATATCCTGCCTGTTGCATTCCTCATAACTTTAAATAGTAGAAAACTATCTAGCCCACAGTTTTTGTCTATATTGACTTTGTTGGGGATATTGAGTAACAAATCCTTGAGAATATTTCCCAGCAGTCAGGGAAATTCAAGCTCTGCAAAAGTAATCGTAGCAGAAACAAGCAGCAGTAGCAACAATAGTACGCGTGGCGCTGAGAGGGTCTATGTCCCCCAGGGTACTGCCGGAACGTACCCTGGTACCAGAGCATATAAATCAACGTGATTTATATGCTCTGCTGGTATTATCTAATATGCCGGACCGTACCTCTCCTACTCCACTAACGAGTCTAGGGAGTCGCCTACGCCTACTCCCTAACCCTAACCCTAACCCTAACTTTAACCCTAACCATATCAGATAGTTACCAGGGTACGTTCCGGTATACCGGACCGTACCCAGGGTACGTTCCGGCAGTACCCTGGGGGACATAGACCCTATGAGCACTAGTGGCAGCAACAACAACAATAGTTTCAGTGGCAGTGATAGCAATAGTTTAACTAGGAGTAACATCAATAATCACTGGTCAACACAGAAACCCCTGTAGCAGAGAAAAGACATTGGTAAATTTGGTAATTGACCAGTGGCGTTACCTCCCTTGATCTCAGTGGTGCACCGTGTACGTCTATGTTTTCTCTCATAGGTTCTCATTTTTCGCCATTTTTTAATCGTATTTATCTCAGAATTCGTGATATAATTTGCAAATTAATCGTGGCAGTATATTTGAGAGCAATAAAACTTCAATACATGCCTTGCTATATATTTGCGTGAGAATTGTGTATTTAGCAGTACTGTGCATTATGCAGTGTTTGTGCTACAATCTAAAAAACAGTAGCAATTACCTGCCAAGTGACTTTTGCCTGTAATTTTTCAAAGAGGCCCGGATAAGGACAAGTACGTTATATGTTTTTAAAACATCTGTACAGATAACAACTAACAAATGTCACGGAGGGGGGCACTTTTATGTGGTAGATAAGAATCTTATCTCAGCCTGTATGATAGCAATAACTGTTGATTGAGACATTGATATGCATTGACTAGGCATGGGCATTACACATGAAATAGTTCTTCCTCCAAGGCATTCTGCATGCAGTCTATTGCCACTGCAACATTTCTATGGCTGCCATATATGAAATTTATTGCTCTTCACCAACTGATTTTCTTTCTTTCAGGAATTATCTCAACTTTGTCACTGAAGAACTAGAGAATCCATGCAAGTAAGTTTGGCAAGACTAGCGAAGCAGCGCACGGTACAGTGAGTTTTATAAGCACGCACTATCGCTTGAAGAATTCCCCCCCTCCCCAGTCACATTCGGAGTGCAGAATTGTAGCTGGCCAATTTCTATTCAGTGTGGTATGCCCCGGGGGCCGGATTCAAGAAGAAATGCGTCTTCGAGCTGCTTAAAGAAGAATGCAGACGATGAATGAAGAAGTTGCATGCGTTGTAGCGGTCTCTGCGGTGAGCGTGATCGGTACTGTATACTAGGGCTGCAACGATACACAAGCCTCTCGATTCGATCCGTATCTTGATATTAGCCTCTCGATTCGATTCCTTCGATTCGATTCCTAAAATATTGAAATGTTATCTTATTTTTTATATTTTCATTATTTTGCAATAAAAACTTAACCAATTATTACATTCATTCTTTTTTCTCAATTTTATTTAACAATTTGGCGTAATAGTAGTACTAGTAGTAGTATAGTAGTAGTAGGAGTAGTAGTAGTAGTAGTAGTAGTAGTAGTAGTAGTAGTAGTAGGCGTATTTAACAATTTGGCGTAGTGCCGCCATCTATTGGAGGGAAAAAGTGGTATCGAAGTGGAATCGAAAATACGGGGAAAAATATCGAGGATCGGATCGAGGGAAGAGAATCGCGATCCCATTCGATTTCGGTGGATCGTTACAGCCCTACTGTATACGCTGTATATTTCGCGGTGGTTTAATTTTCGCGAATTTCGCGAACGCCTCCCCGACCGCGAAAATAACAACACGCGACTAACTCGTACCGAATAATACCGAATAATTCATAATTCACCGACCGCGAAATTAACCACTCGCGAAATTGTCCATCAAGTCTGAATTCGCGAAAATATCTGTACGCAAAAGAAATATGGCGTGATCGTATGTATTCGCGTCTCTTGCAGGAACCTTCCTCGTGCGATCTACATCTCGCTGCCGCTAGTCACGGTGCTCTACGTTCTCGCGAACATCTCCTACGTCGTCATTCTCACTCCGCTCGAGATCCTCATCAGTGAGGCGGTTGCCGTGGTAAGCGCGAAACGGTTGCCATGGTAATCGAGTGGGGGGTTGCTGTGGTAATCGAGTGGGGGTTGCTTTGGTAATCGAGTGGGCGGTTGCCGTGGTAAGCGCAAAGTGGTTGCCATAGTAATCGAGTGGGGGTTGCCGTGGTAATCGAGTGGGGGTTGCCGTGGTAATTGAGTGCGGGTTGCCGTGGTAATCGAGTGGGGGGTTGCCGTGGTAAACGAGTGGTGGTTGCCGTGGTAAGCGCGAGGTGGTTACCGTGGTAATCGAGTAGGCGGTTGCCGTGGTAATCGAGTAGGCGGTTGCCGTGGTAAGTGCGAGGCGGTTGCTGTGGTAATCTAGTGCGGTGCTTCTCAAACTATTACATTTACAGCGTCAATCCCCTCAGAGAGTCTTTATGACAAAATTTCATTCACATGCGACTAAATTTCCTTGTGTTTTTTCGTAATTTTTGTCTTTCATCCATTACTCTCCATTCACCACAAAATAATTTCATTCACCCTTGGGTGACCCATTCACTAGTTTAAGAAGCTTAGATCTGTGCATACCATTCGCAGTTTGCTGAAAACACTAGGTCACTGAATACGGTCTCTATTCCGTATCTTATGCGGGGTTCTCCCCAGTTCTTTAATGCCTGTTGGGTCCAACGTACCTTTCAGAGCTGGAGCTAAGTTGCGACATCTTGTAAATCCTCCAAAATTCCTTAGTTGCCTAAATAAACATGCCTTAATTTCCAGCTTTGTTTTTTTTATTGTTTAGTTTGCTGTTTTTCACTCCTTTCCTGTTCATTAGGTAAAAACAAAATTGCAAAAAAAGAACGAGAGGTTACCAACTCAACGGAGGGGTGGGGGCACACCAATCCATCCATAAATATGCTCTGAAATTCCTAGGAAGAACGCTGACCTATGTAGGCATTACAGTCAAGAGTCCAGTCCTCTTCTCACTGCATTGGAATGTTGTATAGGATTTCGTGAAAAGGACTCGGGATGACAAATTTGGGGGTCAAGGGTCAAAGGTCAAGATGTGTAAACGGAGGGGGAATATTTCCCCCTTAACTTAAGGTATAAGAGGAAATACGGAATTGCGGCACAAATCTTAATGACTCGACCTCTTATTATTCAGTGTATAGTGTGATGGGCAGGAAACCCATCACCAGTGCGAAATTGGAGGTCACAGGTCAAAGGGCAGTGGGGGAAAGGTTAGATATCAGACATTTTCTGAGGACATGGCCTAATGGACAGAGTGAAAAACTTTTTTGTTTCAGCACTGACCTACCATTTTTATCACTTTATTGAAAGGACCATGAAATGTGCTTTCCACTGACGTTAAGTTGAGTTGACTGAGGTTAAAGTTTTAAACATGGATTCCTGAACTGCCTCAATGACGTCACAGTGTTGTCATATTTATGGCACATCCATAATCTAGAAATCCAATAAGCCTGGATAGCCAAACGCGTACAGCACAGGTGTCACGGCTGAAAGGTCGTTGAATCGAATCCCATCTGATTTTTTATTATTTAACCTGTTTTCTGTATTTAGTCATCTGGAGTCAGTCGATGAGTTGTAGATCCATGATCGTGGTCCGTCGTGCGTCGTCCGGTACAGTTTGGGCCAATTAAATCTTAACGGCTCTACGTCGGTTCCGATTTCGGGCGTGTGGGGGGTATCCGACAATTGGGAATGTTTGTAGGCTGTGGTTCAAAGGTCAAGGTCAGAAGGTGTAAAAGAAGGGGGACATTCCCTTTTTAAATTAACGGTTAGCGTAGGAATGCAGAATTAGAACAAAAAAAAAGAGAAATCTAACGGAAAAAAATAGATAAGAGATAGATGATGTCAAGGAAAAAAAAACTAAAATAGCATCATAGTTAGGAAAACACATCCTGTGCCAGAAAATTAGCCAGAGGTCACAGGTCAAAGTAATGAGAGGCACAGGCATTTTAGACATTTTCTGAGGACATTGGTCATGACGGCGGATTGAAAATTTTTTGTTTTCAGCGGTGACTAGCATTTTATGCTTTATGATAAGGACCATGAATGTATCTTTCTGCTGACATAGCGAGGTAAGTGCGGCATACCTTTTGACCCTCAGAGGAGTGTTAAACATGGATTTGCTTTACTGTTTGAATAATTTGACTGCACGGTTTGCTAGTGATATACATGCTGGATGTATGAGGCTACCAATTGTTTACCGTGAGATTTCATAGCTAACTTGGTTGAGAGGTTTATGCTCGTTATATGTCTATTTCCTAGTGCGTTCTTTATGTCAGTGTGTTACATGCTACTTTATTGCAATGTATACAAATTATGGTATTTTTTTAATAGGGTTAGGGGATAGCGTTAGGTCACAAAATTGACCATTAAACAGAGTTTCAGTGCACGGCGATTGTTATAACAATGTTGAATTTGGGAAGTTTGCAGAAGGTTGCTATGAATGCTGTGTACGCATGCGTAATTGCTTATCGAGCCTATCAATGGTGTCCTACGCTTCGACTTTAAATGTTCGTTTATACCGTACATACGACCTTCAGTATGAGCAGCTGCTCTTGCGGCTTTGTTTATATGTTTATGGTTAGCTTATCATGGGGCTGTTTATTTGCGTGTGGTACGCCATATTACATGTTTTGAATGCAGGTATCTTAAAATTGGCGGTTCGCTATGAACGTACGCGACAATGTACCTTTTCTTGCGACATGGGCAAATCGCTGTCTTGGAAGTGATGGCATGGGTATGCCCTGTTTGTGGCCTGCTGACTTTGGTCGGGGTCAATGGAGGGGCATTTTTGCGCTGTATCTAGGTGGTATGCGAGCGAGTTACGTGAGGTATGCAATTGGCGTGCTGACACTGCAAGTGTGCAGCGTGTTGGGTGGTTTCTGCCATACATGGGTGAATTTTAAACTAGCTATGCCGGTTGCTTTCTTGAAAGCGTGAGGTCAGTGTTTCTATTTGGGTTAGCTCCGTCTTTGAATCTAAGTGGTGACCAAAAAAAAATTGATGTTTTTGCTATAAGACTAATTTGGACCCGAAAGTGGCCTGAGAATTGACAGTTTTGTGTGCTGTTTAGATGTTTGGGGCGAGCTTTTTTAACGTGGATTAAACTGAATGTGCAGATTTTTTGCAGAGATTGTTTTGTCGTTGGAGCTAGACAAGGAGTTACAGATGCACTGGCCATGATCACGTGGAAAGGTATACCTTTGCTTCTTGTATTTGTGGTAGTATCTCTCTCCTTTCTCCCTTTTCCTCTCTCCTCCCATACACTCGCTCTCTCTCTCTTCTCTCTCTCTCTCTCTCTCTCTCTCTCTATCTCTCTCTTTTCTGTCTCTGTCTCTCTTGTCTCTCCTGTCTTCTTACTTTCTCTCGCTTCTGTCTCTCTGTTCTCGTGTCTCTCTGTCTCTGTCTCTGTTCTGTCTCTGTCTCTTCTGCCTCTGTCTCTGTGTCTTGTCCTTCCTCCTCTCCCTCTCTTCTCTAGCTCTCTCTGTGTTCTCTATCTTTCTAGTTCTCTTGTGTTCTCTATCTTTCTAGTTCTCTTTTAGCGCATCCAGCATGCAGTTGCAGACTCAGATTTATTGCTTTCTGTGTGTATCCGTTTTGTACTATTTTGGCTGCCGCCGCTGCTGTCGGTGGGCCCCCGGCGATAAATCGTGGTGTGTAGCCACTTGGTTGTTTCAAGTTGATAGTCACGTTTTCTATATTGATGTATTGTATTAAGAAAAATTTGCATTTTTTCTTAAAGTAAGTACTCGGATCTATGTACGTCAATTCTATACCTGATAAGATGTTTTAATAGTTAAAAATCCAAAAACCTGGAACGATTTTGATATTATTATCCTGCTTTCTTCACTGACTATATAGTCTATGTATGGGTATGAGTGTATGGTTTACATGAACAATATAGTAAAATGGAAGTTATTAATGCAGCAATTTACTCAGTAAAGAGAATTACTTACATTTTGTGAAAGTGGGATTTTTTTACTTGTATTTTACTTATTAGATGTTCTTTCAGTGGCTTTCTGTCGCTGATCATTTGTGCTTGGACGGACGTCTAATGCCTATCACTAGTCAGTAATTCATCGAGATGTCATGTCTGGGCGTTCGGTCAGCTGGACTCTTGCTGCTGGATGGAAGCGACCAGACCATGCCAGTCCCATCTAAAGGAGGGTTCTCAGATGGCAGGTATAAAAAACTACACTGGGCGTCGGTTGAGCGATTCAGCTCTTAACCCTCCGAAATGCTCCCGTCAGGTCAAATTAGGCTCCCTGTAAATTTTTGATGAGAGCTCTTTTTTGCACAACTTTTGAAAAAGAGACAGCTCCGTGAAAAAAAAATTTCCTGCTCGCTGGGCAGGTCGTACACACTTCACACTGGCTCGATGTCCACTCTTCAGTCCACGATAGACATCAACGCGGGCTGTCGAGTGTGAACATGCGTGCTTGGGCAGGTCTTACTGCTCCGTTTCTCCACGTCCCACGTTAGACATCCCAACCGCAGGCTGGTCGAGTGTGAACATGCGTGCTTGGGCAGGTCTTACTGCTCCGTTTCTCCACGTCCCATGTTAGACATCCCAACCGCAGGCTGGTCGAGTGTGAACGTGCGTGCTTGTGCAGGTCTTACTGCTCCGTCTCTCCACGTCCCACGTTAGACATCCCAACCGCAGGCTGGTTGAGTGTGAACGTGCGTGCTTGGGCAGGTCTTACTGCTCCGTCTCTCCACGTCCCACGTTAGACATCCCCACCACAGGCTGGTTAAGTGTGAACGTGCGTGCTTTCGAGTGTGAACGTGCGTGCTTTCGAGTGTGAGGGCGTGTGTGTTTTTTTCAGGCATGCAATTAATTTACAGTCATTTGCAATGCAATCTGCTTTGCAAAGTTAACCCTTCTAGAGGCAGAGCGACATTAATGTCGCCTCCCATAGAATGGGCAGAACGACATAAATGTCGTTTTTACCAAAGCCATTTCTAACAGCCTCTCTGATTGGCTAAAGCCTAGATTTCAATGTTTAGTTGGTCTGGTTATCACGAGAGGGCTCTGATGTTCACGAAACGGCACACTTTAGGCTGAAATCATGGTAAATGTTCATTGAATCACCAAATTGACAAGGTTATAGACCCGGAAGTACATAAGTTGTTTCAGGATGGCGACCTCCAGTAAATCACCCCGTCGTTCTGTGCGAAATAGGCCCCCGTTCGTTCAATATACAGCAAGTTGTGGGACTTCTATCTGATTCTGATGATGAAGAGGAGGTTGTAGATAGTGGTAGTGACCTAGATCCCAATGATTTCCCTGGTTCTGACTCAGAATCGGTGAATGAAAGTGAAAATGATGATGTGCATGCTTCTGGACTATGCAAAACATCCTTCTCACAATATCATACATAAGTAAGGTAGGAATTAAGTTGCACTTTTTCTACTCTTATTGACTCTTACAGTGTATTCATGTATACTCATAATTATTTCACCATGATTTCAGCCTCAAATAATGCCCTAGAGAAGTTTAAATCAAAGTTACCCGTTTTTAGGTAAAATTTGGGAATTAATTTGCCCAAATCACTACGTATTTGGGCAAAAACTTGCCTCTAAAAGGGTTAAATCCAGTTGGTCTGCAGTTTCAGTTGTTTTCGTTGGCAAGAACATGATGATGTATTTGGGTTTTCAATCGCATTACCTGCAGCTTTTTTTTCGTTTTATTTTCACAGGTCAACATCCTTATACCGATTACCTTCTTCCTGTTGTGCCTTGCACTGTGCGTCATGCCATTTTACACGGACCCCGTCCCTGCCATTATGGGCATCGTCATCACGCTCTGCGGAATTCCCGTGTACTTCGTATTCATATACTTCCAGGATAGGTGGCCGCTTGTCATTAGGAGAGCTTTAGGTGAGTACACATTTAAGAGGTGGTTAAAATTGAGTGCAGGTTAAGAAACTAGGTGCAGATTTCTTCAATAGTGCATCAACGATTATGACATATCATGTGCACTGGTGTCCAACAGCAATTTTTACTTGTGGTGAAACATCTCATTAGGCCGTAACGTGGTAATGTGTGACACTGCATGGCGCTCTTACTGCTTCTACATCAGGACAAGTGGCATGGGGCATGGTCCATGCAAGGAAAAATGTCTGGTTTTTATCAAGCCCGAGTTATTAGAATCCTAGTTATTTACTATCGCTGTTTTTAAGACCCCCCACACCAATCTGAAAAAAAAGTTTTAAAACCTTGCACAAAAGTAGAATAATGTGGTATGGTAGACAAGTGTGGCAACAATGAAAACCCCACATTTTTCAAAGCTTCATGTAGATGTGGCTCATGTTTATAAGTTATATAATTGTTTCATATTGCTTTATTCCACCGTAGCAGATTTGAGAACTAGTAGTTAATCCCCTCAGTTGCATTCTCTCTTCTTGTATTTTTAATTCACAACACAAACACGATTCATATATTGCTGAGCCATCAGCATTAAGTATGCAGTGGTGTATTGCCACACACCATGTTTGTAAGTTATATATATTGTGGTGTCGTTGCACCTTAATTATTGCACCAATAAATACTTCCAAGAGATGAGCCTATCACATACCTTTTTTCGGAAATGCTTTTGGTATTTGTACTAGGGCATGGAAGCTACACAAAAACGCCTGCATAGTGTACACACGTTTAATTTCCGGTACTTTCACATGTAAAACTGTTAACTAAATATGTACACAGCATTTGTATATAACTTACTCATCCAGTAGAGCTCCGTGTGAGCCAGTTGTAGAAAATAATTGTGCTCCTGTGGTGTGTATGGATGTATATACTTATAATTTTTAAATGATGCTGCTTTCTCACGTTTAAAACCAGTTTCTCATACGTGACCAGGTCTTTATCATGTATTATGTGTGAACTGGGTGAGGTCTTCAAATTTAAAGTTGGTATTCCCATGTGCAAACGAGTAGGCACGTAAAAACGTTCATATTGCTGTTGATTGTTATTTCAGGTGAATTCACCAGGTCAGTACAGAAGCTCATGCTTAGCGTACCGTCGCACCATTCTAAAGATTACCAGGCATGATCACTGACTACGACTCACTACCCCGCCCCTCCCTTCTCAACTGATTGCCTATAACTGCAGACCATGTTTCATTAAGAGATATTGACTGCTTTAATTGACTATTGCGACGTGACAGCCTTCAACAATACTACCATATGAGTTAGACTGAATGTAAGCAGAGTAGTTCTGTGTTTATTCAGTTATTAGGAAAAACCTTCATTGCGTAGCCTTTCTGCGATGAAATAGTTTCACTGTGAATTGAATTTCTATGATGTCATTTGACAAGCACAAGAACGTGATACGAGAATCCTGACTTGTATATTAAAGGTGAGAAGAATATATTTATATACAGTAGGTAAAGTGACCATCACGATTGTTATCCGTTATAATAATGAAGAAATTGGGAATCAAATGTGTTCCAGTTTGTTGTATGAATTTGGTCGTGGTTTAGCAGTATTGTTTATTTGTATGAATTGCCTCGTGTTGCTAAAGATTGACAACCACATGTTCTATAGTGCCTTGAAAATTTTAATTGACTGCACTCTATGTGGGTTTCATTGAATTTCACATTTATAAGTTTTCACACATGGCTTAGGAAAGAAGTTTTCTGTTAGCTTTTTTATATGTTGATTATTTTTGTCATTACATATTATTTGATTACTTTCGCTTGAGAACCTTAGCAACGAACGTAGTTTGCCGTTACCAAATGTTCGGTGAACTCCTGTGTCTTTCACTCTCACACATTGCATACAAGCATGTGTGATACGTTTAGATTTGAACCCGCATATTTCTGAATTTGGATACTCTTCTGTGGTTTTGATCACGTTGGTAAAGATATATAACTGTAAACACATTATACTATATAAGATATTAGCTGTAGATTCCTAAACCTATTACGGGGGCATATATACCAATTCTCAAGTTGCCAGAAAACGATGCGCTCACACCACTGGGAAAAAACTTTTTATAATTATTAGAAGTAGGACGCAGTAAAAGTTTATATTAATATTGTCCCTGATATGTCCTCATTCCAACCAGTGTACATTTGAAGCGAGTATTACAGAGGAGGAGAAGGAGGAGGAGACAGGGTTGCGTGTTTTATTGCTGCTGTACATGTTTTTATTGTATATTGGGTGCAGCGATCAGGGAATTGGTGATATTGGCAGGCTCATTACAAACGTGTCTGTTAATAAGGGTTAGGGTAACTTAGGGTTAGCGTACAGTTGCAGTTGGGTTTACAGTTAGTGGTAGGCATAGTTCGGGTCGACATATGGGTAATATGTGCGTCGCACTTCGGTGGTAGGCTTAGTTTTATGTCACGCTCTGGGGCCGTGCCTTACAATTAGTAGTATGGCAAGATTTATGCTAGATTCTCGATCTGTGCCTCAAGGCAAACTGCCATTTTCTGGCCCCTATGTGAATATTTCTGTACTCAATCTTTAGTGTGTATGTCAAGATAGGTGTGTGTTGTAGTGAGGTGTGTAATTGCAACATAGTCTATTTCGTTCTACCTCGAAAGAACTGCAATTCAGATAAAGTTCTTGGTATAGTGCATGTATTTTCTACTTATATATCAATCGACTACTAACCAGGGAAATATATATTTTTGAAGACTACCTTAACTATATTTTAAACGATGGCACAAGTGGTACACATACACAATTTGGTGCATGTGAGAATAGATTGCATGATAATCTGATGACATCTATCTGTTTAGGATGAAAGATATTCGTGTATACATATTGTGGGTGTAGTGTTGGTGAGGAACACGTCCCTTATAAAAAGCCGTTGACGTGTGTGTTTAAATTTATATAGTTACAACTGGGAAATATTGTTTATAATTGTTTTATGGACTGGACGTCATATTCAACTGAATGGTAGCAATGGTCGAATATTGTTTGTATTATCAGCGCGGATGTAAACAGTTTTTACGCGTGTATATGCATTTTAATTAAAATGGACTTGTGCATGCTCATGGTGAGGGGTTATTTTGGTTGAAAAATTGAAATCGTGTGAATAGTTATTCTGTTTGAGTCGGTACGCGGGATCGTTTTGAAAATAGTAACATCCGGGTGCACGCGTTAAATCCTCGTATACGCGAAGGCGGATGTAACGCGCGCGTACATACGAATTTATGGTTTCGGTTGCGACCGGGACATCGTGCTTGTTGCATTACAATAATATGAATTAACAAATGCGAACTACAGACTATTATTTATAGTCATAATGTGCTCTTATGTGCTTTGATAAACAGTATTTTTTAGTATTTTTTGTAATTCTACAGCCACGCAGCCCCAACGAGTTTAATATGTGAAACGAAATACAGTATAAACTTCTCCACGTCGGACATGTTTTTAGTTAAATATGGTTGAAATTCTGAATGAATAGAATGTATTTTTACTCTTAACATTGCTTTGTACACGTTTTTTCTGTCGGCATATCACCGGTCGTTATCTACAGCTATTACTATAGGTAGTTGTCTTAATTAAAATGCTTGGTTTCAACTTTATTCTGCTTGTTCGCTATTGTGGCCGAACGTTAAAAAACACAAGTGTTGCATAATATATATTACTATAATTATTATAAGAAACAACACTTACGAACATTTTTCGAATCGCCTTTTCTCCTTTCTAATTTGTGGAGTTACATCTTAAACTTGCCCTTAGACTAATTTATCGATATCTGTAATAATTCACGGCGAAGATTAACTATACAGTTCTAAATTTTGTTGTACATCGACATCGCTCAGTAACAAATTTACGTAAATCACAAAAAGTGCCGTGAACTCATGCGATAAATTATCGATGTTAATAACGGAAAATTGAATAGCGTGTATGCTGCATCCAGACCAATGAGTTGGTCCACGTCCTTTTGGGGGAATTAGCGCCAAAGTGAATGTTAATTCATCGGTGTCGCAGTCAGTGACACCAAACGCCGACGGTTCTTGACGACTGGATCCTTCTGCGATTGGTGTCTCACTCTTCTTCCAAATATAATTGGCTCTCAGATACATTTACGCTGTATCCTACACAGAATGGTGGCTGAGCTGATACGATGTACAGACGTAGATCAGTTAGTTACTATATGATCTGCTGCAATGTTGAGTGGACGCGTGAAATTCATGTCGATCTTTTCAGCAAAAATTATATTAGCAAGTTGATTACATATTATAATAAGTCTAAACAGTATTAGTAAGGCACAAATAAACTAAGCAATTGTTTACATTACGAAACATTAACATTGTGTAACACACTACGTACTGGTAACAATTTATTACATAAATTTATGCTGAGATACCCCCTAACCTATGGGGGGGGGGCAAAGCCAAAAAAGTGCACGTTTATC